ATCCTTTACTCCATTCAGCTAAAATCGTTGGATTTTGCGCTGTGTTTTTCACAGGAGAGGGTAATTGTTAATATATTCCACATTTGCACAGTCCAACATACAAAGTCCAGTTTTTGGGGCTGTTTTTAGCTGCTTGGAGATGAGGGCCTCTGAACAAAGACAGTATTTCACTGCAGCTTGACAGGCAGCTGCGAAAGTATTTACAGCCTTACTGCAATGCGGCAAAATGGACCCTGCTATAGAGGAGAGGTGCAAAGCTTGAGAAAATTAGGCAGCTTTCGCCTAGACAAAGATTTTATGGACGATTATACAACCTAAATGCTAGAGAGGGGTTAAACCACTGGATTAGATTTAGCATGTATATTAACTGATGTGTTTTTTAATCTGTGTTGGATTTTTTAACATTGTTTTATGGGGAGAGGTTTGGTTTTAGGTAAACTGTTTTTTAAATTAGTAATATTCAAAGGTGCTTTCAGTTTAACCTACTTTATTTAACATAATTCTTTCAGGTGTTTTATTTTCATTTTATTTTATTAAAACGTGCTTTTATCCCCAGAATCACCTTCAGTTTGTCCTGTAAACCAATTTCATACCAAAAACTGCAATTTTAATTTATATTGATATTAATACATTTATCATAAGCACTGAAAGAATGAAACATAAAATTATGCTTTTGCAGTTGTTTTTCTCAACATATTGTGCCATTTTGGGAATTAATGCAACTTGAACAACAAAACATTACTTTCCATCATGTCATTTGATACATGACTATTTGTTTGCAGTCGTATTGTTCAATAACTCTCTACTGATGCACTTCTGCGTCACTGAATGTCCTTTATCATTGGGTTGTTTGGCCTTCATGTGGAAATGCATCCTTTTGCAGTGGGAAAGGAGTGTAAATTTCCAGCAGAAGGCGCTGTTGCCCAACACTCAGCCTCTCGACTCTTTTACAAGCTACTTCCTTGTGAACAGTGAATGGATGGGTTGAGAGTCACGTGGTCTGGCTTGTCTTTGAGTGGGATTTTTGAAATAACAAAACATTTTAATTTCAGATTATCCACACAGAAAATATGATGTGCTGACAGAAACTTGACCCATTTGTTTGCTATAAAAAGAGAAATGCATCTTTTTTTATATAAAAAAAATTTCATGGAGATGTCATTCATTATGAGGCCTTTATATTGACTGCAGAGGTTAATTATAGAATATCTTTAAAATAACTGATATAGAACAACAAACACATCAATGAGGGAATCTAATAACAGAAGAACTTTTATATAAGGAAATCTTTTCAGAGTTCCTGTATTTGTTCAGCCAGTGTAGGAGGAGCAAAGGCTGGCTGCAGTCAGGGATTGGTGGAAGAATAAATGACATCAGTCTTTTGGCAAGCGCACTTGGGAGATAAATGCACTTGAGACACTGCTAAGAAGGAAATTAAAGGTCAAAAGCTTTAAGTACAGATGTAAGCTAAAATTAGGAATAAACAACCCTATGTTATTAAATCAAATAATTTTGCACATATCTGTTTGCATCGTTATTAATAACACTGATAAATATTTAAGAATGTAAATTTAAGTAATGCAGCCAAATACTTTTCTCTCTCTAATCAGCTTCTCCATTTCTGCTCATTCTTCCCTCCTGCAGGGAGCATTAATGCAATCTGCATTATTGAGCAAGTGCAACTTTGAGGGTTATTTATGGGCCCGCGCAGCGTCGTGAATGGCTGTGAGAAAGCACGTGACGCCATTAAAGTTTGTTTTATGGCCTGGGACTTGACAAGCCAAAATATAATTCTCATTGTGTATTAGTGAGCGCGTCCAGATGGGCTGGAATAGTGTTCCCAATGACATACAAAGAAGGGAGCTCCACCGGCTTGAATTTTATCCTTTTTTTCCTCCACTGTGGATGTGTTTTTGGCGCAGGGTGCACCATGTGTTCCAGTCTCTATGGTAAGCTCTGTTTTATCATTGTGCTATGGGCGTGTGATGTCACATGCGTAATGCTCAGGCTGAACCGTTTCCTGTCTGTAAAAGCTGGATTTGCACGGGGCTGGGAGCTAACGCCGCAACTCGTTGATGTGTGGGAGTTGAGCTTAATGTTATTACTCTGCGTAAACAAGAGGCCTGGCTAAACAATATGCTTTGATTTTTCACCTTGTTTTCTGTTTGTCTTCAAAAATGCAAAAACATCTGACAATCCTATTTTTGACTTAATATGGCTGCTGTTTTAGATTTTTTTTTAGCTTTTAGACAGCTCAAAAACAGGTTTGGATTTGTTTTCTGTTATTTACAGTCAATTCAATATTTGTTTGAGAGAATAGCTGTCTGACCGTGCTCTATCAGAATATGGTTTCAGATTAAAAGAAAGGCTTCTCAGATAGGCTGGCTTTTGGTCAAGCAGCAGGAAATGCTGACTTTATCATTTCTATTGTTGTGACTCTCGGCTTTGACCCGTCTGGACGACTAGCAGGGAAGGTGAAAGGCAGGTCAGGGCGTCTTATATTATAACCCGAAGTAGGAAAGGAACTTTTTATATTTCCCATATTATAGCTGCCGCACATACATTAATTGTTGTCCTAAATGAAAAAGACTAAAACAGATAAGGTCCCCAATTCTTCTTTTGTTTTCTCAGTTACATTAATGTGTAAAACATGGAACTCGTTGGCAGAAAGTTCTTTAAAATGTTTATTTATTTTTTTTTTTTTTTTAGGCTTACTTCGGTTATATTAAGGCCTTATGAATTAACCCCTCAACGCACAAAAACACTAATAATAAGTTTTATTAAATTAAACGTTTTGCAGTGAATAATGTGCTTAATTCCGGACGTCTTTAGTCATCTATCTATCTTTTTATTCATTTGTTTGATTATGATTGTGATCCAATCTTTATAGTCTAATTGTAAATGTAATTTTTTTCTCGATTTTCGATCCAAGAATCCTCCCTCTAAGTACCCAACGTTTATTTGGATTATTGCTTTTTTAAATTATTATTATTATTATTGTTATCCTTTAACTATTTAAATCGTCGGTTTGATGCAAAATATCTTTAAAAACACATTTTCTCCGTTGTATCTAATTTGTGAAGTACTGGATTTAAATTAAAGTAATTAAAATCCAGAATTGAAGTAATTTAAATCCAGTGCAGGCCTCTCGCCGTGGTACGCCGCTGGCTGCTTTGGGGTATCAGCTAGGGAGGATTTGGTAAACTTTTGCACCCTTTTGAGCTGTCAGCAGCAGCAAAAATAATTAAAGTTTTTGATAGTTTTGTAAATGATTCTGGTTGACCCTGCTGGCCTTTAGCCTCATCTTTCGGCCAGTCGGTGATAAGAGCCTCAAGATCATCCAGCAGCCACACGAAGCGTCTGGGGGTTATCTGCTCATGCGCCCAAAGTGGTGCTGAACTGTTTGACAAAAGCTTTAAGTGAAGTCCTATATTTAGAAGTTTGGAAGATTTTAACGACCCCTCAGATATTTAGAACGTTTTTTAGTCTCTATTCGTTGGTGGGATGGTTGTTTATGGGGATGAACTTGGGCTTTTTGAAGGGGATAAGAACAGTGATGAAGTATGTTTTTTATATTTATGCCTTAGAGCTTTATTTATTTATTTATTTTTTTATTTATTTATTTTTTTATTTTCTGTATCTACAATTTCATTTATTTATTCAATCTCACCTAAAATTTAGGATTTTTTATAGAACAGTAACAGTAAATTAAAGATTTTAAATTGCAAATGTTTTATAACTTTTAACCTTTTCCGTCATCTGCACAATACTCAAAAACACCTGCACTATATATATATATATATATATATATATATATATATATATATATATATATATATATAGATTCTTCTTAATTTCCAATGTTAGTTGATAGATTTAAACACTTTGGTTTGATGAAAACATGCATAAGGGTTAATGCATATAGTCAAAATTGGAATGATATGTGTCATCTATCAATTAGATAATATTATAGGGTTTTATTCTGCTTTTTCTTAGGAATGCCAATTTTTTTATTTGCACATCCAATGTAAAAGGCACTTAAAAAGTTATTTGGGTTTGCATAGGTTTTCAAATGTTGCATTGTACGCCTTTTTTATCTTATTTTATTTCATCTTATCTTATCTTATCTTATCTTATCTTATCTTATCTTATCTTATCTTATCTTATCTTATCTTATCTTATCTTATGGGGTACTTACTGCTGTGCATGTGAAACACTGATGCCTTGGAGAGTGTCACTTCCCGTCGTCTATATATACCCTGTAGAACCGAATTTGTGTGATGGAACCAGATTCACAGATTCGTTTCTAGGGGAGTATATGGTCGATGAAAAACCTTCAAAACCCTGAGTTATGGGCTTCTGAGGCCCAAAGTATTGTTACAGTAAAAGTCCTAGTAAATCTTAACAACACATTACTCACAGAAACTCAATGGGATTCTGGTGAGAGTGAATAATTTGATCAGGAAAGTGTCTGTTTTTGAGGTTGCTGTTTCTTTTTTTGGAATGAGAATCCAAATGCATTAAGTAAAAAGAAGCTTCAGCCCGCTCCAGCTGTGGCTTTTGGCTCTTGTGTCTCCACATTATTGATTTGCAGAGGAGTGCTGCTGCTGTTGCTGCTGCCCAATAGGCTCCCAAGACGGTTTAAAAAGAGAAAGACAGGGGCAGATGAAGGGATGAGATTGGTGTAACTTTTGGATGACCCCTTCATGACAAAGCCACTGTCCATCAATTGTCCCTGGTCATTATTTCACTGCTTTTATGCCAAGGGGCTTTTTGTAGCTTTTGTTGGTCCCTCTGTTGAACACCATGCTTTCAAGTAACTTTTCTATCTTTTATATATCTGCTTTTGTAAAACTTAAACCTGCAAGATATTTCTAAATAATTCTGTGCAAATGTTCTCTTAATTGTGCAAATGGTTTACATTTTTATTTTATTTTTTTATTGTTGTTGTTGTTGTTTTGTGTGCATTTCAACTTTTGGTATTGCTTACTCACTAAAGCAGCAGTTTTAGATGTTTGTTTATTCTGACGAGTCTTATCTAGGTGTGTCTTCATTTAGGCAAGATCCCATTTAGTTGTATGTTTACTCGTGTTTGGACCCGCATCACCTCCATTGGCCGCTCTGGTCACATGGTTCGCTAACTTTATTCAGTTGACACCAAGTAGGAGGGCTCTATGGAGGAGAGGAAAAAAAGACAACTCGAGAAAAATTAGTATTTTCTACCTTCAGAAATTAATGGCCATGAGTTCGTATATGGTGAACTCTAAGTATGTGGATCCCAAATTTCCTCCCTGCGAGGAATACTCGCAGAACAACTATATACCTGAGCAGGGCTCGGACTTCTATAGCCCGGCGCAGGACGCGGACTTCCAGCACCCAGGGATCCTCTATCCGCGATCAAACTACACAGAGCAGCCGTTCAACTGCAGCCCCGTGTCGGACTCCGCGGTGCAGCCCCGGGGTCATCCCGGGCACACGGCCCACTTTGGGGCACAGACTGAGCAAGGGCCCCCAGTCCAAAACACCGGACCTCGGACTTGTGGGCTGCAGCAAAACGCAAAGAATCAGAATGGGATCCAAGCCAAGCAACCTGCAGTAGTTTACCCTTGGATGAAGAAAGTTCATGTAACTACTGGTAAGATTTACTTTCCTGTTTTTCCCTGTTGGTAGTTATAGGAAGTCATTTAATGTAATATTTATGGGCGTCTTTCAAAGGCCTAGACAATTACACTAGTCATAAATTTTTATAGCTGAGGAAATAGGCCACAGAAAGCTTCAGAGGGCACATACTGGCCACCAGTGCATGTATCTGAGGAAGAAATGTTTTAAAGGTTTTTTCTTCTTTTAAACTAATCAATGGGCTTCTTATTTTTGCGTTTTACACTCTTTTATGGATTTTTTTGCGCACTGACAACAGCTACTTTCTTTGTTTTGTTTGTTGTTGTTTTTTGTTTCTTTTTTGCCTGCATGCTTCAGTTGGTGACATGCGGTAACTCTTGATTTATTCTCTCCTCCTTCCTCTTCTTGTTGTTTTCCAAACCAGTGAACCCCGACTACACGGGATCAGAGCCCAAACGCTCCAGAACCGCATATACTCGGCAGCAGGTCTTGGAGCTGGAGAAGGAGTTCCACTTTAATCGCTATTTGACCAGACGGCGGCGGATCGAGATTGCCCACACACTCTGTCTGTCCGAGAGACAGATAAAAATCTGGTTCCAGAACCGACGGATGAAGTGGAAGAAGGACCACAAGCTTCCCAACACCAAAGGCAGATCCGCGCCGGCCTCTGGCCATTTGCAAAACCATCAGAAGGACAACCAGACTGATATAACAGCGTTATAAAGGACATAGGAGGAGGTTTCAGGACACATATTTTGTACATAAACAAAGACAAAAGCTGCATTTCGACTTTTGCATGGACTGGTGTCGTTTGTGCATTTTTTTTTATTTAACAAAATTGATTCCAGCAATTTTGACCCAAGAATGAATCAGAAAACCAATCGTTTTCTTTTACTGAGAGGTTGGAAATATTTCTTGCTTATATTTAATTTCATCACAGTCAGAAAATAATGTTTTTTTTATATTTGTATTGGGCCTATAATGATTTATTTAATGTTTAATTTCACGAATATAGGCCAAATGTTTCCTCTTACATAAATTTCAGTGTTTCCTTTTTTCTGTTTTCTTATTTTACATCAATGAGGCAAGACCCTCGCTTTTTATCTTTTCTTTTTCATCCCACAAAACGCACAATATAGGTACTTGAAGGAAGCGTTATTTGCATAAACACTCGTAGAACTTTCTTTGCAAAAAAAAAAAAAAGGAAAAAAAAATATTTTTCATTCTGTAACTTGTTTGTTTAACTTATTTTGTAAAAAATTATCTTAGCTCATATATTATTCCCAGACCTAAGACATTCCTGCGCGGAAAGGATTCCGAGTGCCCTTATAAATCTCCCTTGACATCTTTGTAAACAGTGTACATTTTCAGAAAACTCTCTCTCACATGAAAGATTATTCGTTCTTGCATGGCACCAAAATTGCATTTCTTTTTTAGAAACTCCCAAATCCTGAATATTAGGAATGTATGTCTATTTTTCCTTGATTATTACTTATTTATTTGATGAAGAAAATGTAAATCTTCGCAAAGCACACGCGTTTACTCAAAAATTTCGTTAAAAAGTTTCTTTTTTATATAAAAATTAGTAGGTTTTGCTCATTTTAGCATGTCTTTCTGCAAACTTTCGATCAAAAATATGATAATTTTTTTTTGGTAACACCAAACCAACCGAGTGGAAGAAGGGAGCGCTTTCAGGTCACTCATCGGGGCAAATATTTCTTGTTTTAGGCCGTCATTGTGCTCGAACAACAACAAGAAAAGGGCAATCGTTTTCCCAGTGCGAGGAGGTCTCTTTTCTTAAGTCTTTCTGAACAGAGAACTGAAAAGGTATTTCAGCCGAAGATCGACAAAAGCAGCTAAACCAGGTTCATGCAGGGGACACATTTCAGCCGCAAGGACTGACCCCAGCACCTCCTGACCCGCCGGACAGGCAACATTTTCTCTCCCAGGCGCTACTTCAGTTTGGAGGAGAAAAAGCCTGTCAGACTGCCTAAAAAAAAAAAGAAGAAGCTAAAGCTCATTCACAGTAAAGAGCCAGTGAATTCCGCAGTTTTACACGTGTTTTAACAGTATTTATATTACCCCTCCCCTGCCTAAGGAGGCTCTGATTTGTATTTGTCTTCCTGCATTTGTCAATATGCAATTCTTTCCCTCAATTTTTATTTTTGTAAATGCTTTTTACTTTGTACGGTGCTTTGAGATGTAAGAATTATATAAATAATAAAGATTTCTACTGATTATTAGTTTGAATATTGGCAAAATAAGTTTTTTCTTATATTTATTTATTTCCTTCACCCGGCAATGAAACATAACGCAGATTGGGAGATAATTCATTCAAAATAAAAGGGCTATTTAAAATCTGTCAGCTCATTCTGACACACATTTATATATATATATATATATATATATATATATATATATATATATATATATATATATATAATTTGTGTGTATACACGTTCTCGCAAGAAGATCACCCCTTGAGGCTAAACACATGGAGGCTTTCAGAAAATACTTACAAATGGGGCAAATGCGCACTGCATGGGTTTATAAAGCCTTCTGTCCTTATAAAATGTGACTTTCACAAACAACAATGTTTCATCTGTTCGCATTAGGGGAAAGCTCTGTTTTTACATGAAAAGAGGATTGATTCATATATATATATATATATATATATATATATATATATATATAT